CAAGAAAATTCTACACCACGTGATTCCATGCAAGGCAATTTTTCTTCTTTATCTAATGGCACAACACGGGCAAACTTCTCTTTTCCAATTCAAGACTCTCCTTCAGGAAACCTCTCTTCTTTGGTAGGTTACTCATCTTCCTTAAATTTTCTTTTACTATCACTTATCGGAGATGTGGTAGGTAAATTATAAATAACTAAAATTTCTTTAGTATAAATGTTAGACGAGTGGTTTAACATAGAATTACTACATGGCTCTTGTGGTTTTGCTTAAAATTAAGGTCAACCTTGTCTAGACGAGTGACACAATCGTTACATATTGAGATGTGAAATTTTACTTTTAACATGCGCTCATAAAAAGATGGTTCATTCAAGAATACCTATTGAATTAGACTACTCATTGTAGTGTTGAACTTTAGACGATTTAAATTGCTTATTTGAACTTTTTGGAATACAACAGATGAATGCAGATCGAGTCATGAATTTCGTTTTAAAATGTCAATATTATTAAAACGAATAGATTTAATCATTCTATATTGATTATGTTTTATTATAGACGAGCAAGGTTAAAACAAAATACGAAATAAAATGAAAAATGCTAGATGTGCATCAAGGTCTACATCCCCTCACATNTTCGAGTGGGCCCCTTACCCATGTGAGGGGGATATACACCGTGATGTACACCCCAACGTACCACTAGTCTGACTCAAATAAAATTACATGGCATCTTATCTCCAAAGAACAATTATAAATTTTACATTATTAGATGTGACAATTGCTAATACTAACGGGGATTGGAAAAGAACTGATCATGACAATTGATGATGATACAGACGCATTTGAAAATTTAGCTTCCCAATTTCCACTATACATTTATTTTTTTTATTCCTCTAGAGGCATGTGTTTGAAAATTCAACTTATTGATTAGGTAATGCCGTAATGGTAGAATTATTGTTCTATTGAATTTTCAAAAAAAAAAAAAAAATCAATTATCTAGAATTTCTTTAAGAAGTTTAATGAAAATAAAAATTTATTGTTTGTCCACATCACCTCCTATGGAAAATAAAGAAACGTATTACAATCAATTTCCTTTTCCATATCCCAATTTATTAGCCACACGATTTTTAAAGACATATTGAGTATGATATACCAAGTCCTTGTTTGATGGAACACTGATTTTTTTGGAGAATGTGTGGTTAAAAAGTACTGAGAAATTTTAGGTTTACGTGTAAAATATTTTATTGTGTAAATATATGATTGAAAATGAGTACGAGAATTAAAAAATTTTGTTTTATATAAATACAAACAGGGAAGATTAGAGAATATATTAGATAAGATTTTAAATTTCTNATAAAGAGAAATTGGAAGAAAATAATATTTCGAATAGTGATTTTTTGGAAAATTTGTGATTAAAAGGTTGGGAAAAGTTATAAATTTACGTGCAAAATATTTTATTGTGTGAATATATGATTGAAAATGAGTACGAGAATTAAAAAATTTTGTTTTATATAAATACAAACAGGGAAGATTAGAGAATATATTAGATAAGATTTTAAATTTCTTTTTAATTTATTTTACGTGACGTATGATAAAAATTTATATCAATCTTATATATCACTTCCTTTGACTAAGTTATTATATTAATAATTTTACCCGTCTCCAAACTGGACTATATGTGTGGTACTCATTAATTAATGATCTAAAACCTTATAAAACCTTTATTTTGCAGTCATTTCTCCTCGAGTAATTAACCTTTAGCCCCTGTTTGGTACACATTATTTTTTTCATTCTCATTCTTCTACTCATTTTCAACCACACATTCTTCAATAAAATAATATTTTCCATCACATCAATAACTTTTTTTTTCATTTTTAACCACACATTTTCAAAAGAATGTGTCCCAAACACACTCAGTATGACTTTTATTTGGTTGGCACGAGCCACTTGCTTTCTTTTCTATTTTTTTAGTAAAATGCATAAAAAAAAATTCTATATTGATTTGCAAGGTTAAAAGAAATGGAGAAGATTTCAATCAGGTTCCTTTAAAATATATTACAAATTGGTCTTTAATATTTGTTGATCTAGCTGTAGGTTCCTTTAAATATAGCAAATTGGTCTTTAATATTTCTATAAATATTATAAAATCAATCTACTATGACTGAGATTCTCGAAATCCTAGTATTGTAAAACTTTCTACTCGATGTATGCAACTAATATACTATATCCATGAAACATAGTTAAAAAAATTACTTTTTTGCCATAGCCATGCAGTTGCTTAATTTCTGATGCTTCACTTATTTCTAAATTTTACCAATTTTTTAGGACAACGGTGAAAATAATTTGGAGAGGATATTGAACAAAGCTGCCATGAAGGACAAAACTGTAATTATCACCACCTTAAATGCAGCCTGGACAGAACCTAATTCGATATTTGATCTTTTTCTTGAGAGCTTTAGAATTGGAAATCAAACACAAGATCTATTGAATCATGTAGTTTTTGTAGCTTTGGATGAAAAGGCATACTCTCGTTGCTTAGGCTTACGCCTACACTGCTATGCCCTCAGCACCGTCGGCATCGACTTCTCTGGCGAAGCATTTTTTATGAGTGAAGATTATTTGAAGATGATGTGGAGGAGGATCGATTTTCTGCGCGTTGTTCTTGAGACAGGATACAACTTTATTTTCTCGGTAACATCTGTACCTTATCACAAGTTACAATCTATTAGTGTCACGTTGACATATCTCAACACACGGGACGTTTTGTGTTTTTCAGATATCAATAAAAAAAGTCAAGAAAATTTAAGAAAAGGTTTTTGGCCTGGTGGCTCGATTGGCTTGGCACAAGCTACGCCAGGCATTCCCAAAAGAGGCGACTAATCCACTTTACACCTCTAAAACTGCTTTTAACCTTCTCAAATTAATTTGGAACATGCTCCATTTCAGCTTCTATATTTGCATCCCTTCAATTTCAATCTCTTTTATTTTCCAGGATGCCGATGTAATGTGGCTACGAAATCCATTTCATCGATTCCATCCTGACGGGGATTTCCAAATAGCATGCGATCGTTACTGGTACAACTACAAAGATTTGGACAATTCACCAAATGGAGGATTCAACTACGTTAAAGCAAACAAGAAAACAATACAGTTTTACAAATATTGGTATGAATCGAAAGACAAATTCCCAGGAAAACATGATCAAGATGTTCTTAACTTCATCAAACATGATCCCTTCATTGAAAAGATTGGATTGCAAATTAGGTTTTTGGATACAGCTTATTTTGGTGGGTTTTGTGAACCCAGCAAAGATCTTAATCTGGTGTGCACAATGCATGCAAATTGTTGCATTGGTTTAGGTAACAAGATTCATGATCTCAAAATGTTGATTGATGATTGGAAAAAACATATGGCATTGTCTGATACTGATAAGATTTCGGTGAGACCATCTTGGACAGTTCCACGGATTTGCGGGTAATTAAATTTAGTAATTTGGAGAAAACAATAATGTTCTGAAGTTGTTTGTGTAAATTAACAGCTTATAATTGAGTGTAAATTTCACAGCTGATAATTGAGTGTAAATTTCTATTATGGATCCTGTTATTTGCCTCTTTTATAATGCATTTCTTTTAGCATAAAGCCAATGTAATTAGAGCAAAAAACAAGTTTCATCTTTTCAGATAGGGCGACCGTAGTCTAGCAGCATCACCTCTCCCGTGGTTTTCTTGTCTCTACTAAGGTATGTCAAGTTTTAATTTCTTATCAGATTCAGTCACCAAGAATCCGAATGAAATAGCAAGTTTGTACGATAAATTGCAGCTGGACGACGACGATGGAGTGGTGGTTTGTTATGAATTGATCGCAATATAATGACAATAATGACATAAACAAGAACAAATAGGAACACTAAGATTTATGTGAAAATCCAAGATGGGAAAAAACCACTAGAAGAAGATAATTTTACTATAATCAATATAATCAATAATGAATGTTTTTACAATATCAAAATCTTAAAACTCAATTCAAATCTAAGCTATCTAACTCTGAGGACACCACAATTTATACCCTTTCATACCTGATTTATATACAAGAAAGATTCAATTTCTAGACCTAGGCTCTAGCATCCCATTATCTATATGAGAATAAGCAGGACACCAAAAAATCTTCAAATCGGAGTAATAAAAAGGTTTACTAGACCATACATCTCCTAACGTCTTTTTCTCAATGGCAGTTGTGGGTGGCCGATTAATCAAAAAACAAGTTGTAGTAGCACATTCAGCCCAAAAAGTTTTAAGAAACCCAGAATTTAAAAACATACAACGAACATTTTTCCATCAAAATTCTATTCATCCGTTCTGCCACAAGATTTTGTTGAGGAGTTTCATGCACCATCAAGTGTCTCAAGATGTCTTGAGCCTTGCAGAAGCTAATGAATTTATCCGAACAAAAGTCCAACTCATTATATGTGCGTAGATGTTTCACCTACTTTCCAATCTGTTTTTCTATCATTGTTTCTTACTCCTTGAAGGTCCCAAATATATCACTATTCTGCTTTGAGAAGAATACCCAAACATTTCTTGAGAAGTCATCATTCACTGTCAATAAGTAATAAGCACCTCCTTTTGAATTTATCATGGCCGGTCCCCAAAGATCTGAATGGATATATTCAAAGTTTTCGCTTCATGTTGTGTCTTATTTTAGTGAATTTGACTCTCTTCTGTTTCCCAAAGACACAATACTCACAAAAAATTATTTTACTGATCTTCTGTCTATCAACAAGCCCCCTCATACTCAACTCTGACATACCATTCTCACTCATATGCTCGAGCCGCATATGCCAAAATTTCGCAATTTCTTCATCTGTCAAAGAAGAAGTAGAAACTGCTACATTCCCTCTTACTATGGAACCCTACAAAATGTACAATTGTGTAGCGCTTTTATGTCCCTTCATGATAACAAGAGTACCCCCGTTGACCTTCAAGATTTCATCTTCACCAGTGTATAGACACTTTGAGTAGCACCAGCAATTTTGTTTCTATTTTTCAAAGCATAGCAATCAGCTCTAATATTCCCATTCTTCTTACAAAGGGGACATGTTTTCTCTGCATGTCTGGATTTCGATGTGCCCCTTATATTTCTATCAAGATTCTTATCTTGATTTCTCCAACGAACAACCATGTTGACTTATGGTTGATTATAACAAACAAGTTACTATTATTTACTAACAAGTTGAATTCAAGTTATTATAGTTTTCCATCGCATACGATGGAAAATTGATCGATGGTCGTCAAAAGATCAGAAGCTATCATCATAAATTGAACTCATGAAATAAGTTAAGATCGAAATCACACATTCAAGAACTTAAGAACCAAATTTTGGAGCAAGATCAAGGACTTGATTTCTTAGATAAGGTATAATGGTACTAATACTTTGATATTTGGTAATGAATTCTTAAGTTCAAAATCTTTCTATGCATTAAAAATAATTTTGTGCATTAAAAGTCATTCTAATACAATGATTTGATCAAATATAAAAATGACTTTTGAAAATGATATTTAGATTTGAAAAACATTCTTTATCTTAAAAAGTTATTTAAAAATACTTTCAAAAAGTCCATGTCTTTCAAAACCTTCGAATTGAAACAAATGGGGCCAAAACGTAAAAAGACCGAACTGCTGGGTAGTCAACTGATCGGAAGACGCGGTCGATTGGCTAAAAGAGACGATCGACTTGAAGTTTCAAATGGTACAAAATTTGACCATTCTGATATCTGATTTTTACTGTACAAACAACTGTATTAGTCATCTGGACAAATGACAGTCGACTAGACGAGTCATTCGAACTCTTAGATTTTTTTACGTTTTGAATTCTATGAATACTTCTACTTCTTGCATTCAATATAACATTCTTTAAGAGAATCAAAGTGAGATAGCCTTTGAGAGATTTATTTAAACTTCTATTTGCGTTCATTTCATTTATTTCTTCATATAAAAAACTTTAATTGATTTACACTCTTTAATCATCATTTTCAACAGGGTTTTTCATATTTCTTTTTGTACGTAACTTATTTCTATTACTCATAAAAGAGAGACATATTTTGAAGAAGATCTTTGAACTTACATTACATATATTTCTTTTACTTCTCATATTGAAAACTTTGATTGATTGAAACAAACTTGTAATTCAACAATTTATCAAAGTTTCTCATATTTATTACAATCATTTATTAAAAGAGAGATATAATTTGAGAAGATTTTTGAATTCATACTGTATTTATTTCTTCTTCACCTTCTTATTGAAAAACTTTGATTGATTGAATCAAATTGTTAATTATCATATTCATCAAAGTTTTTAAACTAATACTTGAGCTATCATTTATTGTTATTCATTGAAGTGTTAGCCTCTTTTAGTACTTAGTTCATTTGTATCATTTATTAAGAGATCGTTTTCATTGTAAAATTATTTACTCTAAACTTGTGGGTCGTATTGATGTCCCTTGAAAGCTCACTAGTATATGGACCGATGCTCCTTATTGTAAGTTACCTCGTGGGTCATATTGAAGTCCCGTAAAACTCAATATTATATAAGGATCGGTGCTCTTTATTTGTAAGTCACCGAAAGTATTGTATAGGGTTGGATTGCACCACAAGTCAATCAATATAGTGAAAAGGCTTTGCTCATGCCGAAAACCTAGTAACGGAAGACGTAAATTATTGCTTTGGACCAAACCTCCACAATTATATTGTTTGCATCATTTCTTCCCTTTTACTTATCGCTTTCATATTTGCACTTATTATTTGAATTAATCTATTTAATCTTTACTTGTTTGAATTTATATTAATTCTTCAAAAAAGTTTTAAAAATCAATTCACCCCTATTGGTTAGTTATTCTAGGGATATCGAACCAGATCTTTAGCCTAACTCCCAAATCCTCTAGCAAGATGCCTAATCTTTTAGGAGTCTATTTTTGGAGTTTTAGATGAAGAAGAAAACCTAAAATCTGAAAAAATCGGGATACAACCCACCACGGTGGGGCCGACACCACGGCACCCCAACCAGGGTTCACTACTTCATTTTCCTCAATGGGCACCGTAATGCCCACTTTCTGTAATTATGTCTCGAAGGTATTTTTTTTTTCACCCCAAAGTCCTTTTTCAAGCCAAATTTTCAATCCTGATAAAATTTGATCTCCATGAATTAGGACTCCCAAAACCAAAACCATAGACTTCTTCTATTCAACCAAACACCAAATTACATAAAATTTAGGTCATACCACAATGTGGTAACATTGGAGGCAAAAAATTCACATAGGGACGATAGAAGATGTCCACATATTGGGCCATCAACCAGCAAGCAAATGATATTTTTCTATTTTGTCTTGATTTTTTTTCCTACAATCCCTTCTCGTTTATTATTTAGGACGGAACGGTATAAAAACATGGATTGAGAATTTTACCATTCTTAGAGACCTAACCTAACTTATTAATTACATTGGTTTATTTAATTTTGTGTTATAAATTAGGTTTTTAGTAAACACTATTTCAAAATTAAGGTTATAGGTTTTAAATTTCAAAAATCTGGTTTTCATTAAAATTTATTTATNATTAATAAATATATAAAAGTCACATATATATGAGATTTGGTCACAATTCAAAAATTGTATAGGTTACAGTTAGTTCATCGGTCACAAATTAAAAATTTAAAGTTACAATCTGTTCATCTATCACAAATCACGAAATTTATAAGTCACACAACTTATTATATGGTCACAAAATCAAATAATAGGTCACAAATTAATAAATTTGTAGGTCACACAGTATTTATTGATCACAATTTAATCTTTATTGGTCACACGCCAACTAATTTATTGGTTACAATCAAAAAATCATTTGTAACCACCACCAACAAAACACCACCCATCACCGCCACCAACGCCGCCTCGCACCAGCAATACCACGGCACATACCACCACAAACAGAAACACCACCAACACCACAACCGTACCAAACCACCACCAACACTGTACACAGCACCACCACCGTCGACCGCCATCACCACTATCAACATCTCCACCTGCACCACCGTTGACCACCACCACCATCATCTACCCACCAAACACCAATGCACAAGGGTAATATCACCCCACCATCATAAGCACAGATTTCGCACAAATCAGAAAATATATACCACAAATCGACCACCTCGACCATCTACACCAACGACCATCGTCACCGCCGCAACCCCACCAACGACCATTGTCACCGCCACATTGCACCAACACAATCGGCTTCCACACACACTGAATTACACAAATCAGCATCGCCGTCGTCTTCCACATACACTGAATCACAGATCAACGCTGTGTAATAGATCTGGAATGCTGCCTAACCGAGCATAGAGTACCGAAATCCACTGTGAAAAACTCCGCCAACCGCCCAAATCTACCGTGGAAAACTCTGCTATTTCGCCGGATCGAAG